GCAGGGCACGGCAGGGTGAGGGGTGGAGAGGGGTGGAGTGCAGAGGGTCAGGTGAGAGATTAGGAGTGAGAAGCTGCAGGCCCTATCCCCCAACTGTTTCAAGGTTCTTGGACTGCATTCTTTATGTTTTTCTGTTGCTATTTTCAGACACACCCTACTTGTTGGAAGGTTTTGAAGAGGTGACACGGCAATGATTTGCAATGGGTCCGTGTCCGCAGCTGGGACTAACGTTCAAACAGATGGGTCCCTTTGGTGGTTTGATCCATCGCCATGTCCAGCAGCTCTTGGAATTTGAAGCAAGATGGGTATACAATTTGGGAACGGTGATCCATCGCCAACGTTTTTGTGATTTCGGACGTTGCCCAGGGTTTGGGATGGTTGAATGAATGCTCCACAAGATTTCGAGGTGAAGACATGCACAACATGTGAAACCACAGCGAGATACATCTGCGAAACGTTGGAACCTTCGGGATTGCAGCCGTTGGAACCTTAAGGATTGGCATCAACAATCCTCAATAAGGTTCCAACGGCTAAGAGTGTGAAATACCTTGAGCAGCTCGGCACGGTATGTTCTGTGAAAATGCCACCTGGGAAGCAAGCGGCCCTAAACGCGCTCATCATGTAATCATGTAATCCTATGCCCCAAATGATGAGATACACGTTGCACAAAATGATTTGACCGTATCAATCGCAAGCAGATGCACATGGATGCGCAAGAATATAGTTGGATGGGCTGTTCTGCGTGTTTGACGGCAGGAGTGCACCGTGAAAAGATATCAGATTTGGATAGATTTGGTCCATTAGGCCCCCGAAAAGAAAAGAGGTGAATGTACTGACATCTCCACTTTGGGCCGTTTGCACTGTCGGCACCTGCAAAAATTCCTCCAATATGAGACCCTTAGACCTTCGACCTTCGGTCGCAGGCGCTGGCGCCTCCCAGACACGGGCCGTGTGACGCTGCAGGTCTAGGCGTGAGCCAAACGGATCCGGTGGAGGAAAGATGGCTTAAAGTCATCGATTTCCTCCATGGCCCTCCCATGTTCAAGGTGCAGGAGGAAATCCTCGATGTTCATGTGCGAAACACGTCCTCGGTGTGATGTCTTTTCCTCCACCTGACAGGCTGGCGAAAAGGCCAGCAGCTCACCTGCCCGGCCCGGGCACATGTGCGACGCGAGTCTACGCCGTTCGCGCAATCCCATCTATTTTGCTCAGAAAAGAACAGGAAGAACGCGGTTTAGGTTTGGCCAGCTTTTGAATACCATGAAGTGCAAAGAAAGCCACGTCGAGAGCGTGTTTCCAGATCCAAGCCACACCCGGCCCCATGGGTTTTTCAGCACCTGACGGTGTCTCCAGCGGCCACTTCGCTGGCTTCTTTGAGACATCCCTAGGACTGCTCAGCTGTAGGTGGCCTGTGAGAGTGTGAGAGTCGCCCCCCCCCCAAAAATGGAGGTGCACAAATGTCCTCCAATGAAAGTGTACCACACACTAAAACACAATGCCCCACCATTTGGAGAGGTTTTTATCCATTTGTTTGCCCATCGGTCGATTTGGATTCCTAGATTCTCCCATTTCTGGGTGGAGGGAATCCCCTCGGGAATGGAGTCGCTACAGCCAGTCACGACAACAGATCCTGAGCACGTATTACTCGAAGATACTGGAAGAATATGGAAGGCTTTTTTCCAATAGCAACAATTCATGCCTGTCTTGGGTTTTCCCATGTCAGTCACACCTCCAGTCATACTCTTGCAGGCCTTCTGAGTGGAATTCGAAGGCTGTTTCTAGTCCATTCGACTTTGACTACTGGTTGAGCACACATGGAGTTTGACCTCCAGCTGTTATTGGACCATCACTCCATGTGTGGATTTTGGACCATCACCATCCATTTGGACCATCACCATTTTGCCGAATTTTGGAACGAACAACTGGATGAATGTTGCAGCGCCACTTCAGGGCATGCTGGCTTGAATGGTTTTCCAGCATGCTGCTGACCCTGTAAATCGCCGTTGATGCATGTAGCTAGGAGCAGTGCTAGGAGCATGCCGGTATACCGCCTAGCCTGGCATGGCATATCAATTACAGAGTATGCGACATACCACCTAGCACGATTAAAGACCATAGGAATCTCTACCCTGCCACCTGGGTAGACGTGCAACGGTCAGACGGAGCGGTCAGTTCTGGGCTCGTTCGAGGGAAACGTAAAGAGCAGAAGACAGATGTGTGGCAAGCGCGCATGATTTGTATAACATGCATTCATACAGCTGTGGGCATATAGGGTTGGGTAGATTTACATGTATTCCTCAAAACACGTTTGATCTTACGAGGTGCTTGATATTAAACATGACTAAACCCCGCACGAGAGAGACCTTGCTCACGATTAAAAAAAAGTGGGAAGTTGCAGGAGATGTTGAGCTTAGGTTTGGCTGTTTGCATTGCATCACTCCATAGAACTCCCGTATCCTCCTCCTAGGTCTATTGTAATTGCATTTTGTATGCTGGGCTACTCATTCATGACCGTCAGGCACAGCGCAGCACAACTCCAATGTCAGTAGCCTTTAGTGAGCTCCTCCTTTCAGTTATTTTCCTGCAGATATCATTGGCTCACTCTTTCCTCAGACCGCCCCTCCTGGTCTCAATAGCCGCCTTATCTTTGGCTCAACTAGTTTTGTGTTTCTTTTTGCTTGTGTTATACCCCGTTTATTTGCAATAGGATGTGTTCTTGAAGATTGTTGAAATTCAAGCAAAGGGCACATCAATCTAGCATGAACGGGGACAGAATAGATGCAAGAGCATTCATTGGCTTTGCCCTCACCTCGGCACCATAGAAGATGGAGGCACTAGTTTCAAGAAGCATTGAAGCCTTACGCAGGAATGGAGACTGTCAGCTCACCCAGCTGCTTCAAAGCAACGTGTGCTTTGGAATCTATATAGTTACTCAACACCATGAAGTGCATGAAGCACTGAACAATTACTTATCAAGACCCGTCAAACTGTTGTCAACAATTATAGATGTGAAATATGAAGAAACTTGAGAATAGAAATGGGTCCTAGAAGGGGGAGGTGATGCATACGATGCTGTTCACTGAGCAGTGAATAGAAAGCAATCCAACGACTGCACTGTTTGTGCTGTAAGAGGTTGGGCCACAAAACCCACAAAGCAAACACATGCAAACACCCAAAAGCGACAGAAAGATACACTTGTTTGTTCTGAGAGTAAGGTTGGTGGAAGTGAACCTTCGTTGGTTCACTTATAGTCTTACTGTTACTTGTATTGTGGGTTCTCCTTTTCTTTGGAATTTTCTGGTTGACAGCAAACCACCTTCAACGTACAACACGTTCACCAGCATTCTTTCAGAGCAGTTCTGTTTGTTTTTTGCCGATGGGAAACGGTAGACAAACAGATACTGTTTGGCACGTGCTTGGGGCACGTGTCTTCATTATGTTTTGTTTGTCGCGTGTTTGATGGTCACATCTAGAATCTTGAAAGATACTGTAAAACCACCAGGAGGTTTGGGACGCTTTTTGCATTGTCACCTGTAGTTTCTAGCAGGTGACGTGCAACCAATTGTTGTTAATGAAACAAAATCTTGGTGGCGCTAACTGGGCCACAGAAAGCAGCTCTAGGTACACCATGGGTGTGGATCCATATCATAAATTAACATTCATCATTTACATATATTTATATACAGTGCCTACCAACAGTCCCAATTTCAGCACAGAGACTGATCATGTAGCATGTAGTGGAATCTATAGAATCTCTATATATATATATAGCCTATACCTTTCGCAAGTTGATGGTAAGGCGTGGAATTGGTGTTGAAACCTGTTTCTTTTTCCGACGGATTCAGCCTTTGCATGACGGAGATCAGCTGCGTGCTGCTACCGCGCAGGTTTGTTTCACAGGTGGACCAAGAAGACCGAATCAATTGTTTGCCAACTTCGCCAACGGCTGGAGGAGGCACCTGAGTACTCCATTTGAAGGTGAATGTGACCAACATGCACACATCTTGGGTGTTGTTGCAACAACTGGTAGCACGAGTTCACAAGAACCATTGCTTGATCAAGCACTGGTGGCAGGCCGTCCTAACCTTGTTCACGACTAGGAGAGCAACAGTCTCAACAAAACTGTCCTTCATAGAACCTTCTTTGACCTGGCCCATGAGGAAAGTGCAGCGTTTCTATGGGCAGATGTGGGGTGCTGCCCATATGGGACAAGTCTATGTAGGATCTTTGTTCCGGGCAGGTGGAGCATTCTTTGGCTGATTGTTTGTGTGTTTGTTGTTATGTTTGTTTATCGTGCCCTGGTCGTGAGACTCCCATGATTGACGAGTTCCAGGATCGCAACTTGATGGCTCTTCCCCCGGGTCCGGGTCCATCTCTTTTGCTTCGCGCGCCAAACCTCGCGGCCGAAGAACGGAGTCGACAAAGACCGTGGTGAGCAGCTGGTGACGAAGTTGAAGCATTGGATTGGAGCATGCCGGTGGATTTGCCCCTATTTGTTTCTTTTTGCAAAAGATCAAGAGGTGGAGATGTGTACGGTATGGCAGGCACATGTTTGTTGTGAGCTCTTTGGGGCGGATGGTGCTGGGAAAACAACGTGATGTGCGGTTTGTTTTTGGGGCAGGTTGATTCCCTTCACTTCCCACGGATCCGCGAGATTTGCATTGGTTTTGCACTGCATGACCCAGGAAGACAACTGCTTGTTGAGCAGTGGGGCAGTACTTGCCTGGATGATGCATTTGGAAGCATTATGACACAATGATCGAGCCCAAACTAAAGAGCAACGCATAGGCATAGAAGAGACCTGCTCGGTGTTGCTTGCAATAGGTCCAGGACATGTTTTGACATTCACCTGCCCGTGACCGTGATTTTCAGTGGTACCTCACCTCAGCCAGAACTCAGAACCCTTTTCATCCCCAGGACCGACCTGGCACGCTCGGCGTCCTCAAAAAGGTCCCGCGGTCGACGGCCGAAGCCAACACCGACCGCACCGCTCGCGCCGCAGTTCGAACCTTCGCCGCGTCGTGGGTCGTGCGTCGTGCGGGTCGTGCGGGTGTGGAGCCCGGGAGGCGCGGCCGCCGGCCTTGAGGAATGGGACGGGGAAGGCGTGGGACCTGAGGGGGGCCTATAAACATCTAGAAACCACCCTTAGGGTGTTGGAACATCTTGTTTGCTTTGCAGCGATGTTTTCTCGTTGTGCGAGCTTGCTAAAGGATGAGGTAGCCAAGTGACACGGTGCAAGACGTGACCACAACTTGTTTCTCCACCAGTCACTGATCAGAGCAAAATGCTATGCTTTGTCCAATGGAGTCCTGCACGTCAAAGTTTTCTCAGAAACACCCGGGACCCGAGTCCTACAGCGAACTACTAGATAGTCACCGTGACACCAATGGAAACCAGTGTATTATTTAGGAAGTTGAGACACACACGCAGACGCATGGCCCATGTCATGTGATGCAATGTATGTCGTTTGTTGACCGTTGCTTGTGCATTATTGAACCTATCCTCATGACATGTTCCTGCGGCCTATGATTTTGTTTTTGTTGCCCCGAAAGTGAGTCAAAGCTGCCTCGAGAGAGGTGAATGTGGACTGTTTAAGTCATACCCTCGCCAGAACTCCGGGTTTGTCGGTCCAATTCCGCTAGTTATGTTGTGCCTGTGGTGTGTTTTTTTGTTGTTGCAAGGATTTGGTTTTCCCCCATTCTTGACTTGTGATGGTTTGTCGAGAAGGTATGACTATTTCACGGTTTGCTGTTGGTGGTAGACCTTGGTGTGACTGTTTGTTGGTGGTAGCTGCGTTGTACCATTTGGTCAGAAATCGGGTAGACCACGAGCTGGCGTTGAAGGAGCAACTTCAACTTTTGAGCCCGAAGATCTCACTTTTGGGACCAGAGGCTAGAGGGAAGTCACCATCACTATTGACACTGACAGGTTTCTATAATTTACTATATATATATATATTTATTGCGTTTTTCCTTGGTGCCCCGCCGGACATCTATACATACATTGTATAAACTATATATGTTAGGGCGCCCCCGGGGGAGTGTTCTGAGACCCATTGAACTTAAAGGTGCTTGTGTCTATATCAGCGCCACCCATGTGTAGAACGCGGACGAGGTAGGAACCCCCCAGGGGCTTCCTAATCAGCGAGCATGTCTATGGCAATGATGTCAAGGGACTGGGATGTTGGCCCGTGCAAAAACGTACATGCTGATCCTCTTGAGACTGGCCTCAAGCAACCTGTTTGGAAGAAGACACGCGTTGGAGTCAATTCGTTCACCTCACAGAGACGTCCAGGTTGGGGACCATATATATATATATATATATATGGTTGTCGATCTAAAGGTCCTAGTCAGCAGTGTGTATGACGATGACCCGGAACATATCAAAATCTCATTTGGCGAAAGTTTTTTCTCGAGTTGGCGAAAGTATTTTTTTTTTGCGAAAGATCTGGCGAAAGATTAAATATGTACTTTTGTATGAATGTTCATTTGCTTTCTGAACAGCTGGTGGCAGTGACTCAGAAGCTAGATGAGCTGTGGAAGTTAGATAACCTGCTGCTGCTGCGGCTGCTACTACTACTACTACTACGACTACCACTACCACTATGACTACCACTACCACTACCACTACCACTACTACTACTACTACTTCTACTAGTACTACTACTACTACTACTACTACTACTACTACTACTACTACTACTACTA